CCCAGACGCTGAAGAGGGCCGAATTCCAGAGCGTTGAAGCCACGATCCGACAACGACGCCTACTGTTCGCGGGAGCATTGGCAAGGCAGCCGGACGGGCGACTCCCGAAACGACTGATGTTCGGCGAACTGGCAGGGGGGGAGAAGCGACGTAGGGGGGGACAGGAACAGAACTGGCCGAAGTGTGTGCTCGACGACCTGAAGGCATTCGGGGCCGACCACGGATCTGCGAAAACCGATCCATGTTGGTTCGGAATCCCGGTACCGAAAAACACGGCACCGACGTTAAAGTGGACGGAAGCCGCGAAGGTAGAGGGGGGAGTACCCTGGCATGCGGCGGTGCTGCAGGGAGCTGAGAGGTTCATGACCTCCTGGCACGAGAAGGAAGAAGAGGCCAGCCGACAACGGGCGCTCAAACGAAACCACAAGCCACCAACCAATGGGGCGGGAGGGGGGCAGGAGACGGACGAGACAGCGAGGGAAGAAAGCAAACGAGAAGGGACGGACCGAGTGGCGCGATACATGCCGTATTGAATTTCTTTTAGCCAATTCCCCCCCCCCAACGCTGCACCATTGCACCAACCCCCCAATAGTGATGACGTACCATTACAATGCATCGCTGGTTGGTGGCCATAGTTGCGTGTTTGCTTGTCGTTAGTGCTCTCTCCACTGTGTGCCTTCGTCTGTCTCTTATTTCTTGTTTCGGCCTGGTCCCTTTTTGTCCTCGCTCTTTGTATTTCATTTTCTTTTTCCTTATTGTTTCCTTTTATTTTCTTCTCTTTTTCTCTTGTTTTTTTCTCTCTTTTTCTGTGCCAGATGGCCTTGTTTCTGCTTGCGTTGTGAAGTACCAAGATTGAACCAAGCAGGTGTACCTCATTCTCTCCGGCCCGTGATGGTGACCCTAGTCTCAGTTGTTACCTCGCATAGCGCGCAGAGGGAGTGGAGGACTCCAGAATATCTGTCGTTGATTGACTTGCGGACCCCTCGGGGCCATTTTATTTGAGTGTACCTTTTTAGGGTAAGTTAGCCTGCGACCACAGGAATCGACCGCGTCGAGTGTTGTACCAGTACGGACATACGAAGGGACTGGGTAGAGAGAGATCGGAACGGTTTTTAATGTGAAGACAACAACAATGCCTTAGTTGTTAGACCACGCGCCCTCGACAGGACGGAGCACCGCTGTTCCGACTGGACCCCGATCGCCGATGACCATCGTTCCTTCCTACTTTGCCAAAGGTGGCTCAAAAATGTTTTCCTCATACTGTATATTCTATCGATATTACTTCCCACCTTCGGGGGGGGGGGGGGCGTGATCAAT